AAGGCAGCAGCTCCACGCCACTCCTTTGTTTTAGGAAATCGCTTGAATCGCTCGAAGGACTGGAATGATGCATCGCGTTTCTCTCGCGTTTTTCTGCGACGCCTGTTTTTAAAGGCGAACTTGACCGTTTTGCGTTTAATTTGGTGGAAAAGCGTTTGAGGTCCGAAACCTTCAGACGCATTGAGCGTTTCCTTCGCGTTCGCCCTCCATGCGTTTAGACTCGTTTTTTCCCCACCGTTTTCCGCTCCACGCCACAGGATCCTCCGAAGCGTTCTGAAGCTCGCTTGTTTTTGTGCTCGCGGTTCGAGTCTGTTGTTCGCGTCCAGGCCCGAAACAGTCGCTACGCTTCAAAGGCCTTTAATGCGGCACTCGCGCGACACATTGTAACGGGTTTCCACGCGTCAGATGAGCGTCGGTTCTGATCCATAAAGCACCGCCGATCCTCTGCCAGAACATCTCGTCTTCGTTGTTCGCTCTTCATACGCAGCGTCTGCGGCCCTCTTCAATGTTAATGTCGACCGACGTCGCATCTGTAATGCTGCCCGTGAGCCACGGGATCCTGGAACACGACCGGGATCTGGACTCCGGTTCGGCGGCGGTTCGGGGGATGAAGCGCGGGGACCCGGAGCCGGAGGGCGCCACGGCGGCGGGGGATTCGGTCGGAGCTGAATGCAAACGAGCGCGGATGGACGGTACCGGAGAGACCGGACAGGTAAGCGTTAAAACCAGCATTCTATATGAAGCTCCGCGTGCCTTGTGATGAAAGACAGACGCGCTTGTGTTCGCGAGAGAACAGACGCTGGTTTGGTTCTCGGGTCTGATATATATGAGGTGATTGGGGCACCAAAGGGGACATTTTCTCCCACTGCTGCTGGTAAATGTTCCTGAATCATGGAGGTGATTCTCCAGCGCTGCTCTCATCCGAGGCCTGCAGTCTCTCCATCCTGCGGTACTTTTCCATCCTCCTCCATGAGCACTTCTGCTCCTCTGTGTATGCAGACAGACGTGATCTCATCTCTCATTTCAGCGTTTTCTCCATCTCTCTCTTTCTCTTTCTCTTTCCGTTCCTCCGGTAAGTGATCTAAAGTGCTGCATGGATCCTAATGGCTCATTTTCACAAGCTAATGGCTCACGGTTTCTCTAAACTGCACCGTGACGGCTTGAGACTGAGCAGATGAGTGTGTGTGTGTGTGTGTGTGTGTGGAGCTCGCTGGTGTAGCCCAAAAAAGGTATTGATCTGCTGGAGAGAGAGTCTGGAAATACGCCTGCAGCAGAGACTGGGATGGAGTGGGGGCTGCGGGAATCAAACCATGCATTTATGAAAAGCAGGAGATGGAGCAAATTAAAGGATTTAAAGTGTCTGTAAACACGAGTCTGATTCCCTCATGCAGCCTGTCTGAAAGATGAAGTGGCGAAGCAGGAGAAAAACCTTGAACAATAGTGATTTCCAGGTTCAGTTTTTGTAGTTAAGTTCATGCTGTGCTTTTTTGTGTGTGTGAATTCAAACATCATTGGTCACAAAGTGCAGGAACTCATTGAGCTGCTGTTCGTTCCTCTAGCGTCAGTGATTTGAAATCACATCAGTTCTCTCTCTCACACATGCATGCGCGCCATCAGAAGAGGATTTGCTGTATCACTGACAGTAAAGAGGCTTTTTGTTGTGCTAAAGAGATCTACACTTGTTTCAGAGTGGCATTAGTCTCTGATCTCCCATTTATCTGGGGGGGGGTAATACACACACACACTCTGATTGGAGATTTGTAGATAAGCCTTTGCATTTTTACATCATGCACAGAGCCGCGTTTATTGAATATCCTCAGTGTTGTGATGCCGTCGGGCCGCTCACGTTTTCATCACGGCTGTAGCGTGCCCTACTTACCCCACGTCTCCAGTAATTACCCTTATGGGATTGCACACACGTGTTACCATGGCAACTTTGAACTTTGACCCCAGGAGCAGAGCAGTAAAGTCGGGGTGTGGTGGTGATGGTTATTGCGATAGACAATAGAGCGAGCGCACGAGTCTCAGCTGGTTTGTGTCAGTGCTCCTGGAGTCAAGAAAGTGTCTTCTAAAAGTTTAAAGTCCACATGAAATCAAAACTGATGCTGTTTGCTTTGTTGGCGCACATGGTGAGGAGGTGCACTAAAATAAACCCTGCCCTCTATGCAATATTCCGTTTCAGTTGGAAATACATCACAATGCTAAAATAAAACTGGTAGAGAGAGCAGGAATTATGGTTTAGTGTTTGTTGCGTTTGTCTTTCAGTGTTATTGGCGTGAAATCATCTCTGGTCTTTATTTTGCTTTGATGTGGTCAGTGACAGGAACTTTTCACGCAAGTATACAAGCACGACATTAATGTTCGAGCGCTACGTTTCAAGTGCGCAGTCCTCCGTTCTCTAGGGGGCGATAGAGTTTCCTTCAGCTGTCCGTCGTTAAAGGGATAGTTCACCCAAAAATGAAAATGTGATGTTTATCTGCTTACCCCCAGGGCATCCAAGATGTAGGTGACTTTGTTTCTTCAGTAGAACACAAACGAAGATTTTTAACTCAAACCGTTGCAGTCTGTCAGTCATATAATGTAAGTGAATGGGCTCCAAGGCTTTGAGAGTAAAAAAAACAAACAGACAAAACCAAATTAAACCCTGCGGCTCGTGACAATACATTGAGGTCTTAAGACACGAAACAATCGGTCTGTGCAAGAAACTGAACCGTATTTATATAATTTTTTACCTTTGATCCACCGCAATGTCTGAGCGCGTTCACAACATCCGGCGCGTGACATCAAATAAATACGGTCAGGCAAAAAATTCCACGTTGTCTGATGATATATCAAAATCGTCTTCCATTGTGATGACCTGTACTTCTAAATATCTTTAGATCATCGCAGTGCCAGTGAACACGTCCGCAATCTCTCTGCACTGTGTAAATAATGAGTGACGTATACGCGCGACAGATCGCTTCCGCACATGCGTCTACTATCATAGATATGTATAGATTCCCTATTCGACCGCTCCAAATACGTTGACACATTCCAAAATGGCGTACGTATCGCGGCCCATAGAAACAGTCACTAATGAGGCATCTACTTATATATATCTATGTCTACTATGCTAGTGCACGTACACGCGTCACACGCCGGATGTTGTGAACGCGCTCCGACATTGCGGTGGATCAAAGGTAAAAAATTATATAAATAAGGTTCAGTTTCTTGCACAGACTGATCGTTTCGTGTCTTAAGACCTCAATGTATCGTCACGAGCCGCAGGGTTTAATTTGGTTTTGTCTGTTTGTTTTTTTTTTTTACTCTCAAAGCCTTGGAGCCTATTCACTTACATTATATGACTGACAGACTGCAACGGTTTGAGTTAAAAATCTCCGTTTGTGTTCTACTGAAGAAACAAAGTCACCTACATCTTGGATGCCCTGGGGGTAAGCAGATAAACATCACATTTTCATTTTTGGGTGAACTATCCCTTTAATCAAATAGCTAGATATAAAAATGTCGAGGAAACAGGCAATAGAAGACATTCCCTCCAGCTTTAGTGCTGAGAATGCAGTGTATGTGCGTTGAGTTTATTCCCTTTAAACCATTTGCTTTTCAGTGACCTTCTGAAAGAGCTTTATTTTTTGAGTGTGTTGAGTAATGTGTTTTTCATTTTCTTGGTCTTTGTTTTTTCAGTACCTCATTGAGTCTCTCTCTCACTCACTCACTCTCTCTCTCTCTCTCTCTCTCTCTAACATTGAGTCTTCAAACACACACACACACACACACACTCACACACACATGCACGCACACACTCACACTCACACACACACACACATGCACACACACATGCACTCACACACTCACACTCACACACATGCACACACACATGCACACTCACACTCACACATGCACACACACACACACACACACAGGAAGTATAAAACTACATACAGACAGTCAGACTCGTGGCACTAACAGACACACATGAAGTAAGCAGTGTTGGGAGTAACGCATTACAAAAGTAATAATATTCCAGTAGTATATTACTTTTTGCTGTAACGCAGTAATATAACGCATTACTAATACAATTTGGGTAATATTATTACTCGTTACAATCTCAGTAACGCAAGTTACAACAACATATTTTAACTCAAAATTAAGTGGTGAATTTACCAACACCGCAAAACAGCACCAGAGAAAAAAATCCCGCGGGTAAAATAGTTTGTCTATTTCCTGATGCTGGAATTAAATGGTTGAGATGACTGCAGAGACGGATTCTACATTTGTGAGATGGACACACTCCTGTTATTTTCAGTTCATCGGAGAAAAGCATAAGAATGCATAGTCAGGTGCAATATGTGCAACACCAAACTCTCAACATGGAGAAATAGCACGAGTAAAACCTGGAAACACCTGGACTGGTGCCACTAACACTAAGCTATCGGAGAGAGCTGCGGGGTCGGAGAAGAGGAAAAGACGGCGGACGAGCGCAGACAAGCAACACAAATTAAGTTTAAATAAAAATAAAAATGTTTTTATTAAATTATAGTGTGTATATATAAAATGAATTAATATGCGAAATATTTGACTTGAATAGCCTAATTAACAAAACAAAAGGAAAAGACTGCGAGATGCTGCTGAGTTTGGTTCATAGGCTATTTGTGTGGCGCGGCGCTCTACGAAAGTCCAGGCGAGTGAGAGTGAGTGTGTGTGTGTGTGTGTGTGTGTGTTGGCAGTGAGCGGCTCAGTCCTTAAGGAAATGAGGCACATGACGGGGTGGTGGAGGGCTTCTCTGTGACTCATTGTCTCTCTCGGCTCTAGTCGTCTGTTTCAGACACATGGACTCCAGATGTTTCTCTCTTTATTCTCTTGATGGCCTTTAGTGCCGGTCTGAGCTGATCCTCAAATATCAGCAGAAAACACACTCAGACTTTCAGTCTGAAAGCAGATTCTGGGCTGATCGCATCCAGCTCCTATTTCACCCCAAAACCAAGAGAAAGAAGCTATATTTTGAACAATGTAAATCATTTCAAGCCTCTTTTAGGACAATGAAGGTTTTTCCATTGTTACATTGTTTTTCATTTCCATTTGTGTGATGCGAAGAAATGGATAAAGCATCTGCTAAATTAATAAATATAAGTAAAAATAAAATTATTTAATTGTAAAGTTCAACTGTTAGTGAATAATGTTGACAGAATTTAACGTATACAGACTTTAATTTACAAATCCTGGGCTGATTTATTACAGTGATGTGGGTATTTTTTGTTTTGTTTGCATTACAGCAATGAGAGTCACCATTAAGAATAATGCAGAAGAAAAGCTCTGAAGTATTACCGTAATGGGAGTTTTGAAAGCGTGATCATAAATGAAATCAGCATGGTTCTATAAATAGGCGGATCTTTTGGACTCTAATAAGTAACAGTTGAAGTCCTGTAGTAAAACCGCAGCAGTACTGAGTCTCCTCCGTTGGCCGTTTGTCTCGTGTCGTGATGATCTTCTTGTTTTAATGTGTAAACAATAGCCGGGCTTGAGCCGTGACAGAGCAGCGAGGCGCGTGTGGGCCAGAGCTAATCTGATTACACATCACTATAGACCAATTAAACCTGGAGCCCAATTAAAGGCGGCGTGACGCTGCAGATCTCACAGATACAAACACTGAGAGGCACGGATCATGTGCATCCTCCATGTGAACGCAATCCCATGATGCATTGCTCTAAGCTCAGT